TGTAGGACTCCCAGCTTCCCATCCAAGTTCTGAGGCTTTACCTCTGGATCTCCTGATGCCCAGCACCTGGTCACCACAGGGACGGTTTACTGGCTTGTGCACCCCTGGAGGAATAGCACTTGCCAACTGACTGCCTTCCCCCTGGTGCTCCTTTTAAGATTGTGTGTCCAAGATGGTGGAGGTCTATGTGAAACAGAGAACAAAAGTTATAAGGTATTTATTTAAAATAAAAAGTTTACAAGCATACTCTTAGTACAGCACCAGATTGAGCAAGAGATTCAAAAGAAAAGGGTAAAATGCAATTCTTCCGTCCCTCCCTCTATACATGACCTATCTGTTGTTAAATATAGGACAGGCTCCTTAGCTTAGAATGATAAAGATCTCTACAGAGCTCCCATGTCCTTGGAACTTCCTTCACCTGTCCAGGCCAGCACATGGCATTGGCTGCCTCCTCCAAACCTCAGTTAACAGTTCTGTCTGCTCTGACGTCCTGGATTCAGCACAGTGAGAACAGTCGCACCGGGATGCTCTCCCATGTGATGGCTGGATTGTTGGCTCCTTTAGAGGGGTTTGGTGGGTAGGTATATGAACACATGAGTTGGAGATACAGGAAGAGAAATCAAAGTCACATGCTGACAGGAACACAAAAAAATATGCTGATAGGTGTGGTACTGAACATGAATATAATGCATAATTTAAACATCTGCTAGAACATTAAAGTATGAATTCTAAACAAAAATTCTGGTCAATTACCTATTATAGTGAGAGGCCTATTTATATCCTATTTTGTACTTTCAAATTGTGATAAGTGTTCAGACAGATGGATAGATAAATACATTGATTTTTATATCCTGCTTTCTTCCCCTTTGGACACCCAAAGCAAGATTACACTATCATCCTCCCTGCTTGTGTTTTATTCTTATAAAGCTGCGAGATGGACTGGTCAAAGATCACCCAGTAAACTTCAAAGGCAGAGTGGGGATTTGACCCACAGTCTCCCAGATCCTAGTCCCCCACTCTTGACTACTACCCTACTCTACACCATAGCAACCTTATCAGGGTAAAGAGACAGAACAGTCAGAAAAACTGCTATGTCCCACTTTGTTTTCTGAATGTTTACTGTCCAGTTGATATCCAGTTACATAAGGACTGTCCTGTTTGGCTAAAACAAAAAGACAGAACAAAGGGGGTGGGGGCGACACATTACTGATCATCATCTCCTGTTATAGATCAAGATGGGTAGCCGTGTTAGTCTGCCTGAAGCAGTGGACTGTTCTGTTTGTCCAATGTAGAGGGTGGAAGGGCACTGCTGACACATGGTGGCATAAATCACATTAGAGGATGGGCAGGACTATGAACTTGAGATGGTATGGCTGATGTTGCTGGATCCAGTGATGGTGTTGCTAGGATCTATATGATAGCAAAGTTGGCATCTTGGTGTGTTGCAGACATTGGCACCAGAGTCCATGTTACTGTTAAGTAGTTTATCATTGCAAGTGAGAAGTTGTTTTAGGTTAGCAGGCTGTCTGTAAGCAAGAAAAGGGCAGCCCACCAGTGCCTGTGTGAGGGAAGTGTTACTATCCAACATGGGTTGTAGGTCATTAACAATACATTGGACTGGCTTCAGTTGTAAGCTGTGTGTGACCACCAGTAGTGTTCTTTTGTCATTTTCTTTGGGCTTGTCTTGTAGCAAGCTGTCCCTGGGTATCATTCTGGTCTTTCCAGTCATCTTTCTTACCATATCAGGGTGCTGTAGTTGCAAAAAGGCCTGCTGTAGATCCTTCAAGTGAGTATTTCTTTCTGAGAGGTTAGAACAGATACAACTATAGCATATGGCTTGGCTACAGACAATGGACTGTTTGATGTGGTTGAGGTGGTAGCTGGAGTCATGTAGATATGTTTGCTGATCTGTCAGTTTCCATTATAATGTGGTGCTTGTGTGTCCTTTGTGTATCCATACTGTGGCATCTGGGAAGTTTATTTCTTGTGTAGAGTAATCTGCTCCATATAGATCCTAGAACCGCCATTACTGGACCCAGCAACATCAGCCATACTGTCTCAGGTTCATACTCCTCCTCATTCTCTAATGTGATTTATGCCATCATGTGTCAAAAATGCCCTTCCACCCACTACATTGTACAAACAGGCCAGTCCCTACGACAAAGAATAAATGGACATAAGTCTGACATTAGAAACCGCAACATTCAAAAACCAGTCCGGGAACATTTTATCCTTCCAGGACATTCAGTTGCTGACCTAAGAGTAGCAGTTCTCTTATAAAGGAATTCCAAAGGGAGATTAGAAAGAGACTGCTGAACTGCAACTGATAACAAAGCTCAAAACAATGCATCCTCCTGGACTGAATCAAGACCTAAATTTCCTGTCTCATTACCAATGCTGATTTTTTCACACCTAATACCCCTCCGCATATCACACCTAATCCAATCACTCCTGGTATTGTCATTCATCTGCTATTGTCATTCAGCAGCTGAAATCACTCCACTCTCCAAGATATAAGGACAGATGGAGTCACATTATAGCTGTATCTGAAGAAGTGAAGAGTGACTCATGGAAGCTCATACCCTGCCACAAATGTTGTTAGTCTTTAAATTGCTACTGAACTCTTGCTCTTTCAGTTTCAGGACTAGGAATAAGGCTTGTTGTGGACATAAATACAACAAGCTCTAGAAAGAGGCTCTGGGTGGGTGCCCCAGCCTTGGGCACTCAGCATCAATTTGCTGTGGCAACCTCAGTAGGGCATAATGACACAGACTCCACTGTTTTCTCCAGGGGAACTGAGCTCTGCCATCTGAAGAGCCGTTGTAATTCTGAGTGATCTCCAGCCCTCACCTGGAGATTGGCAACAATGGTTCCCTGGGAGGAAATGGCTGGTTTGGAGGGTGGAGTCTATGGTAGTGTGCCTGTCTGAGGTCCCACCCCTCCTCAAACCCCACCCTCTCCAGACCCCACCCTCAAATATCCAGGACTTTCCCAACCAAGAGGTGGTAACCCTATCTCCTTCCCAGCCAATCATCAACCTACCTTTATCTGTCCCTCTGACTTCAGTTTTCCATCTCCCCCCCTTCCTGCAGCCTCTACCTAGGGAAAGTACGGTCTTTCTCTGCAGTGGGGACCCAAGCAGGAGGGAAGTGACCTCAGCAGGGTATAATGACGCAGTCATTTTCTCGAGGGGAACTGATCTCTGCCATCTGGAGAGCAGTTTTCATTCTGAGTGATCTCCAGCCCTCATGTGGAGATTGGCAGCAATGGTTCCCCAGGAGAAAATAACTGCTTTGGAGGGTGGACTCTATGGCATTCTATTCAGCTGAGGCCTCTTCACTCCCCAAACTCTGGCTTCTGTAGACTCCACCACAAAATATCCAGGAATTTCCCAACCTGGAGATGGCAACCCTAGTCAGAACTGGCCCCAATGAGTTTCCCATAAAAGCCAAAGTAGGCCTGGAAAGGGCCTTCTGCCTTTGTTTTTTTACTGACAGAACCAAGCTTGGTTGCCTAGAAACAGCCACTGAGGGAAAAGTTAGCCCCACAGCAGAAGGAGAAGAGAATGGTTTGACAGCCACTGGCCCACCTCAGTAGCCAGCCAGCCACGGAGGAGCCAAGCAGGAGAAGTGTCTTTGTCAGGACAGACAGCCGTTTTGGCAGTTTATTCTGACAGGGAAGAGTGGCCAAGCTGGTAGTGGGTGGACAAGAGGAGCAGACCCAGCACCCAACCAATGGCAGTACTCGAGTGGCAGTTGACAGGCCAATAGCTAATGAAACTCACAGCACAGCCAGTGGGAGAGCTGGAAAGTGCCAATATGTTAGGGCTTTTATATATAATCGATGGGTCTTTAGCTGGATCATGTCCAAAGTATAAAGACTGTGTGATAAACCATTCACAATTCAGTACTAAACAAATTTACTTGGACATAGTGCACATTTTAATGGCATTTATTTGGAAGTAAGCACTTTCCAGACTGGAGTGTCTGGGACCGCAATCCAGGTGATCTTCACACAGCAGTTCTAAACATAAAGCCAGTCCCACTCGCTTGTTATAAAATAACTTCAAAGGACTGTGATTTAGATTGCAATTTTAATTTAAAACAAAGTTTTGAAAATGGAAGTAGGTTCATAGATGAACCAAAGAGCTCTGAAAAGATCCCCAGACGTTTAAAAATAGAAGCCTCTCTAACATCCCTAGCCACAAACTGGTTGCAAGGAGCGCAGGGTGGCTTAACTCTGGGCATTACTGATCAAAGCTAGATGTTATGGAGAGGAAAGGTCAGTCGCGCACATGGGCTTGCAAAAATGGAGCAGGAGAAAGAGCTCAGTGTATCTGAATTAAGGTAAATAAAGTTCTGTTTTTTAAAAAAAATCAGTAGAATGTTATTTCAAATATTTCTGTTAATTTACATTTCCAGTAATGTATCATGTATTCTTCAGTTAAATAAAATTCTATTAAAAAAAAAAAGATTTCAGTCGACAGAGCTCAGTGCAGCTCGCAAGCTTGTACATTCTTTCATCACGGCCGAGTCTCCCCAAGAATCACGATGTTGCTTTGCCTTTCCTTCTCGTGGACCAACAAGGCACCTACACTTTACACCATAGCGTGGAAACGCAAACTTTTTGCCCGAGGTTGGAGCTCCCTGAAACTTCGGGGAGTGCAGAGGAGAGACACAAGCCCTGGCAGCAGCTTAGCAAGGAAAGCCTAGTTGGGAAACAGGAGCAAGAGCTATTCGCGCGGCATCCCTGACCAGTGTCTTTGCAAGAGAACAGGGGAGGGGGGAGGGTGTTCCTTGGAAACGGCATGGCTGGACGACCGGAGGAGCCCGCGTCCCTCCCACTTCCCCTCCCCTCCCTTCCCTTCGGAGCCAGCCGGAGTCCTCGCCAGCCGCGTGTGATCAGACAGCCCAGCCGGCTCTTGTACACAGAGAGAGGAGGGAGGGAAAGACGGATCCGGCCTGCCCCTGGGGCGGGGCGGCTTGGTAGACAACAGCCGAGCCCGACGGAGGAGCAGCTCGCAGCTGGAGGGATCCGCACGGAGTCCTGAGAAGCCGCGTCGTAAGTGCCTCCTCCCGGGTCTTTTAAACCCCAGCCGCGCTTTAGCCTCCCCTCGCCCCGTCCCTCTTTCTCGGTTGTGCCTCTTTGCCGCCGCTGGCATGACATTTCTCTCCGTCCCGATCGAGCCCGGCGGGCGGTGGAAGCCTCTTCTCTCCTTCTGGGATGTGACGGTCTTCTGGGGTGCTTCGAGTAACTTGTAGCTCGTAGGCTGTTTTGGTTTGTAATAAGGAGATCGGATCTCTCCCCGCCCCCCCCCCGCCCCATTTGAGTCTTTCTTGCGCGGATTTATTTTGTTTTAAATTGCCGTCTTCCTAAGAGATTTGAACTTCATTCATCCTCCCGTCTTCCTCTAAGGGACAGCCTCTCAACTGGAAATTAATTTTCGGAAGAGATTTTATTTTATTTATTTATTTTTTAAAAGAAGCCCCTTTAGTCTCTCCCTGCAAGCTCCATAGATGGGTCGATGTTCATTGGCCCCTTGCGCGGTATCTCTATCCGCCTTTGATTGAACCCAACGGAGCCCCACTCGTGCAAGGCGAACCACATCTTGTACTCTCTGCATCCGTTTACAAGGGGGTGCCCTGTTAAAGCTCTGGGCGCTCTTTGTAAAAGGGCCCACAATGACTCTCTTCCTACAGGCTGTTGTCCACAAAGCCGCTTACTTCCGAGAAAGTAATTCTGTTGATGTCAGTGGGACAGCAGTGAACCTACTCCAGAGCAAGTAATTTGTGAATTCACTGCCCCAAAGGGGTATTCTACTCTGGGACACATTTTGCACCTATAAAGCTGGAAGGATTGGATCCTGCCAGTTCCTAACATGTCCCAGGAGGAAAGGGGTTAAAGTCTTTCTTCTTTTCTCCCTCCCCTCCCCCCCCCCCCCAAATAAAACCAGACCATCAGGTTTTCTACACCATCTCCTATGTTTTCTGTTTAGCATGGCTTTCTCTGTTGGTGGACAGGGCCCCTATCAGATCTTGCAACTTGCCAGACATTCATTTAGGTAGAGACTTGTGGCTAACTTAATCATAGAGGTCAGGGCTGGGAGATGATGATGGAGGTGGGGGGGGATCCTTTCAGGGAGAATCAGAGCCACTTTCTCCTCTTCCCATTTCCTGCTCCCTCCATCTCCTGGCCCAAACAAAACAGCATATTTATAACTGACTAGGGGCACTGTCTCGCCAGCCAGTCTGGGGGGTTCTGTAATACAATGATTTCATAGTCAATGGGTGATAGGCAGGGTGAAGCTCTTACAGTTGTAGGCACCAGCAGAGGTCACCGAGCATGTTATAAAATAAGCAGCCAGACACTGACTGGCTAAGAGGTTAATTCTAATTTGCGAGAGCTGCTAGGATGCTCATGTTTCCTCCCAATTTTCCTTCTCTTAAATGATAAATTTCATTTGCTTTCTTGGGGGTGGGTGGGTTGTTTTGTGCAGATCACGCTCTGTTCTTTTGCACTCATTGGTAGGAGGTGCATAATTGTTGATAAATAGCATGTGAGAAAGATTCCCCTCCTACATTTGAGGATCACACTGCCTGTTTCTGATCTTGTCTTTTTCTGCCCTTTGGACAGCAGTATTGTTCTCTGTGGTAGCACTCTTCCTTTTGTTGTAGAAATGGATTTTTGTAATAAGTGTATCTTGAGTATTGTTTTATTGTGATCACAATTTTTGGTTTGCCTGACAAACTTGATATCTATGTGACGTGGTGGTGGTGGTGGGGAAACTGTGTGCACCCCTAACACAGGCTCCAGCACCTGCATGATGTAAACCAAAACTAATCCAGTTGTTTTCAGCCTGTTTCTTCTTCAGAGAGAGCAGTGGAGTTCAATTGTCAGTCAGCATTTAGTCGGCTTCAAAACGAGTGAGTGAAATTCATCCCAAACCCCAAATCCATATCATAGTGACAGAAACTTTGGTAATTGACTTAGAGGCAGCTGATTTTCCTCCTCTTCTCCGCTTCAGAGGTATAATTCTTAGAGCTAGTTCTGTTGTAAATGAAGATAATTAGAGGGCTGGCGTTTTTTGATTCCACAGAATGAGTTTGGCTGTAGTGGCATAAACAGCAACTTGCCAAATTGCAGCGAAGTCCAGGTGCAGTCGACAGACAGGCAGAATCCCCCATTGTTCATGGTTTGAGGTGTGTCTGAAACAGGGTTGTGTGACTCATATGAACCAGAAGAGCCTGTGAGGTGGAGGGCATGTAGAAGGTCCCAGGTTCACCCTCTGGCATTTCCAGTTAGAGGGTCTCGAGGGACCGGATGCTGGGCAAGACCTTCTTGTTGGGGAAGACAATACTGAGCTAGATGGTCTGACTCAGTTTCCTATGTTCAAATGACCCTGTCTTACATTGCTCTGTCTCTCTTCTGCTGCTTGAGCACCAAAAGGTATAGTATATAGCATCACTGATGCCTGCATCTTTTCTCAGCCTTTGCTTTACATACAGTTGTAATATACAGGTATAGTTACCAAGAAGCTGCGGTTGACTGCAGTTCCCTGTTGAGTGTCACTTGGAGGCAAATGTGGATTTGCCTCTGTGATAGGGCATGTGAACTGGCCCTATGCTTTGTTCTAGTTTGAGACTTCCATGTATCTCAGACAAAGATCTTTCTTTGATATTCAGGGATCATTTTTAATATAGAAAAACGTGGTGCTCAAGACTTGGTGCATATAATGTAGTCTGTGTGCTGTTTGGTAGGTTGGTAGTATAAATAAGTGTGCTGAGGATTCAAGCTGCCATATTTAGGATTTGGCCATAGTAGGTTGCTTGCCCAATAGGATGGGGCTGTGTTTGTAATTTATACTCAGTCCAAATTGTGAAACCTGTCTGAAGGCATCAGGATTACATGTTGAGTCCTAAATTCCAAGTCTTATCTAAGATTGTCTTTGGATGACACTTTTGCTTTTTGAAACGGATATCATAATCCAGTTTTACCATCCCCATGGAATACCATAATCATTATAGATGTGAAGTCTTTTGTACATATGTTGTGTTTCAGGACCTAGAGTCAAATAGCACCCTTTCAATAAGCAAAGGTTGCTGTACCTTTGAGACAGAGAAATCACTTAACTGTTCAGTTGAAATGACCCAGGTCCAATCCATATGTGCAGCTGGAAACATTCAGTGACTACAAACTTTGCTGTGTGCAGAGTTCAGGTTGTGTGCATGTGAAGTTATCAAGTCACAGCTGACGTCAACACCAGCAAGGGGCTTTCAAGGCAAGTGAGAAGCAGAGGTAGTTTGCCATTGCCTTCCTCTGCAGGGTTTTCCTCCGTAGTTTCCCTTCCAAGTACAAACCCTGCTTAGTGTCCGAGATTTGACAAGATTGGGCTATACCATGCTGCCTTCCCTCCCCAGCCTTAAGGTTGGAGGAATTTAAATAGAACCCATTGTAGGAGAAGAGTCCTCAGTTTTGCATTGTCTTGTTTTGGGGCATTTAAATTGGCTTGAACGTATGTCAGTAGCACCCAATATGCTTCTTTTGACATTGAATGCATCTTTGGTTTTTAAAATGTCACATAATATTTATAGCTGCACAGTAGTGGTAAGAATGGCCACAGGATTCATGGTATTAAGAAGGGACTTTTTCAAATGAAAGAGCAGAGTCACTTCTTCTGTCTTCCTTGTAATATTTAGGGATCCCTAGCATATGACATGACAGCATCATGTTGCAAATTTCCCAGTTTTTCATCCAGTGTCATTTGTAATGTTGGCCTCCTTAAAGAACACCCTTTAGTGACTGATGGATGTATTGCTGTCCCCCTTTGGAAAGCCAATGGAGATACTGGCATGACTGTGTTTGAAAGTTCCTGGAAACGCTAGCACAGTGGCTTCATGTGGCAGCCCTAACATGTGTTTTTCTAGGAGTGCCTGGCACAGGCATAGGGATTTTCCATGCAGTTGGACCAGTACTTCAGCAGTTCCTACCCAGGGTCCACAGTGTGAGAACTGGCCTGGGAAAATGCATAAACAATAGCTTCAACTTAAATTTGGTCTAGCGAAACTGATAATCATGTTCTTAGCTCACCACTGTTTTCTTAGTGTACAGGTTGAACTTAAAAATCACTATGCATATAGAATTATAAAAAATCAGTTTAAAAGCCTTGAACATAACTGCTTAGAAGAGTATGTGTGATAAATGTGATACACACAGGCTTCCTAGGTGTGAAATGTAAGGGATAGAACATTATTATTCAACAGAAGCAGCTCTTGTCAATAAAAATTATTAAATAGCTGTAAGCCACACATTAATTTTCAAATACTTCCCCACCCAAAGTTATGTGAGTTTGTTAGCATGTCTCTGAGTAATCGAGTAATCCAGTAATGATGTAAGTGAATTAAGAGGAGACGGTAGAAAAGAGCAAGAGCCAAGTAGCACTTTAAAGACTAACCAGATTGGTGGCAGGGTATGAGCTGTCATGAGTGACTGCTCACTTCTTCAGATACAGCTAGAATGTGAGTCCATCTGTCATTATATCTAGGAGAGTGGAATGATTTCAGGTGCCAAATCACTATAGCAGGCAAATGATAATAGCAGGCTTGATTGGATTTGGTGTAATATGCAGAGGGGTAGGAGCCATGGAGAAATCAGCATTGGTAATTCAGCAGTCTCACTTTCTAATCTTGAAATTCTTTTGTAAGAGAACTACTTAATTTCAACTGATAATGAAACTCAAGGCAATGCATCCTCCTGGACTGAATCAAGACCTAGGTTTCCTGTCTCATTACCAATGTTGATTTCTCCACACCTGCTACCCCTCTGCATATCACACCTAGTCCAATCATGCCTGCTATTGTCATTCACCTGCTATTGTGAATATTTTTTTACAATAGCAGGCTTGGTTGGATTAGGTATAATATGCAGAGAGGTAGTAGACATGGAGAAATCAGCATAAATCACATCATAGGATGAGCAGGAGTATGAACATGAGATCCTGTACTCTCCTATGGATCCTAGCAACTCCATCACTGGTCCTAGCAACATTAGCCATACGATCTCAG